CCTGAGTGCTAGGATTAAAGGCATGCCCTACCTGCCTGACTTGAGCTAGCTATCTAGTTATTAAATTGCTATTTACCAGAAAGAAGAGAGAAAAAGACATCGCTGTGCAGAAAGGAAAGAGCAGGCAGAGGCGGGTCCAGTGCAGTATATGAAATGCTCTCATGCAACGTTAGACCTGCAGGTAAGAATGCTGAGCTGTCCTTGAAGTTAGCAGGCTCCTCTGCCTCCATCAGAGGAGAGAAGCTAAGGTTTGGAGATGTCAAGTTCATCCATGTCATGCAGTGTGAATCAGCACAGAGAAGGTGCCCTAGAACAAGAATTCCAAGTCCTGTGCTCTGAGTAACTCTGTGTCATAGTGACAGACTGCCATAGAGTCATCAGTGTTGGGGTTATTTTACTTCCTTGGAACCAAATTCCATTCCTAAAATTGGCTTCCCGTTTTTGCTGTGCCAGTCTGTGGCCTCTGTATGCAATGCTTTATTGTCATTCCTTGAAAATTTGAGGACTGTCTGCTCACTGCCTGATGAAAAGATGCCAAATCTGCCAAAAAAAAAAAAAAAAAAAAAAAAAAACCAGGGTATGTGAAGTCTGAAACCACAGCAGATACAGGATTTCTCTGTGTTGCCCTGGCTATCCTGGAACTCACTCTGTAGACCAGGCTAACCTCGAACTCAGAAATCTGCCTGTCTCTGCCAAGTACTGGGATTGGATTAAAAATGTGCAACACCAACACCAGGCAGCAGATCTTTTATACCCTGGTTTTGTAGACATGGAATAGGCAGAGAACCCTTGCCTAGGTTTGACAGTGAAGGAATGAAAATGAATCAAAAATACTGTTTAGAATTATGTTAACTTTTTACATTAAGAAAGAAAGAAAAAGAAAGCTTGGGTTTCGAAGATATGGCTCACTGGTGAAACATTAGTTTATAAGATGCTGGATTCAGTTCCTAGCACTCTTACACACACACACAAATCATCTAATAATCACTTGAGCCTTGTGAAGTAGGAATGGGTTACTAAGTGTTTAAAACCTCCCTATTTGTTGGTACTTTACTTAATTTGTATCTTCAGAACTTGACTTATTACTTTTCAGGTGCCATCTGTACCTTTTGATTTAACACAAAATAGCAAGCAAGTCACTTTTTTTTCTAAGGTACATTCTTTAGTAGCTGTTTTTCCTGCTAGCTGAGGTAAATTTGCTCAGAACTACAGGATATGAATCATTGCATTCACACATTGACCTAGTCTCACTTTGTTCTTTCTGAGAATATTAAGCCTATTATGTCACAGGAGATAATATTGTCATTTATATCTGCAGTGTAATTCTTAAATCAACCTGAAGATTTAAACTGCTATAATGAACATCTTTGCATAAATTAATGAACAAGAAAACTAGACTAAATCAGGAAAAGCTTGCTAGCACTTAAAGTTGTTTGAGGTCTTTCGATATTGGAGAAAAGTATAAACTACAGGGCTACAAAGTACAGGTGGCAGTAAACATGCAGTCATTGTGGACAGGTGAGGTGGTGCAGATCTCAGGTGATTAAAATCTTAGATTGCTCTTTCATAAGACCCCAGTTCAATTCCCAGCACCCACATTAGGTGGATCACACCTGCCTGCAGGTCCCAACTCCAGGGGAATCTGACACATCTGACCTCCACAGGCACCTACCTACCTGCCTTTGTGTACACATGCCCACACATGTACACATAATTAGAAATAAAACAAATCCTTTAAAAAAAAAAAAAAGAAAACTGTTTCAGCAGGGCAATGGTGACATTCACCTTTAATCCCAGCACTCGGGAGACAGTCAGGCAGATCTCTGAGTTTGAGACCAGCCTCAAACAGTCTATAGAGCAGATTCCAGTACAGCCAGGACTACAGAGAGAAACCCCGTCTCAAAATGCCAAAAACAGCAACAACACAAAAACCTGTGTTTCTCTAAATTGCTTTTTTAAATTTAATTAGTTAATTTTATAGTACCTGGGATTGAGCTTACAGCCTTGCACATACTAGGCAAATGTTCTGCTGAGCTACATGCAGCCCTTTAATTTTGTTTTAAGCAAATGTCCACTTGTAAGGGCAATCTAAGCATTTCTTTGACATTTTTAAGAATTAATTAGAGACCAAGTGGTGACTGTAATCCCAGCATTTAGGAGGCAGAGGCAGGTGGATCTCAGTGAGTTCGAGGCCAGCCTGGTCTACTAAAGTGGGTTCTAGGCCAGCCATATTACACAGAGAAACCCTATCTCGAAAAACAAAGAATTAATTAGAAAGACTAATAGTTTTAAATATATTGGATTATTTATGGGGAGTAATTCTTAGCAAATAAACAGGAATTATGAGAATGGTTGATGCTAGCACTGACAAAATAAGTGTGTGTCTGTCAGCAGAGGAAGGAAGACGTGACTGTACTGTCTTAGTAGTGAAGTATTAAATAGTATTAAGTAGTCTTAGTAGTGCTACAATCTTGGAAGCTGTCAAGAAAGAAGACACTAGGGAGTTGGAGAGCTGGCTCAATGGTTGGTTAGGCGCATAGGTTCTTCTTCCAGAGGACCCAGGTTCAATTTCCAGTTCCCAGATGGCGCCCCGGAACTGTCCATAACTCCAGTTCAAGGACACTCTTCTAGCCTCCATGGATATCAGGCATGCGTGTGGTACACATGCACACATGCAGACAAAACGCCCATAAACATAAAAATAAATCTTTTTTAAAATATAGGAGGAGAGAAAAATAAGAAAAAAGGAAAAGTAGACTTTAGAGAGTCCATAATTAAATTGGAAAAAGAGAATAAAGAACACTAAAAGTGAGGCGCTGAAAGGGTGGCTGAGCAGTTAAGAGCGTGTTCTGGTCTTGCACAGGTCCCAGGTTCAGTTCCTGCACCTATGTTGGGTAGTTCACAAGTGCCTGGAATTCCAGCTGCAGAGAATCCAGTGCCTCTTCTGTTCTCTGGGTACTGCACTCGTATGCACATACCCACATTCGGACACACAGAATACATGTAATTAACTGAAAATAAATCATAGGGCTGTAAGATTGGCTTAGTAGTTAAGAAGACTTGTCTTGCAGAGGCTCCAGGTTCATTGTATGACCCTCATTGGTGTCATACAGCCGTCTGTAACTTCAGTTTCAGGTGACCCAATGCCCCATCTCACCTCCTCAGACAGCAGACACATACTTGGTGCACATTTATAACGTGGTCAATTTTTTTTTTTTTTTTTTTTTTTTTTTTTTTTT